AAGCGTTATATATCTGGAAATATGGGTAGAAAATGGATTTGATGAGAAAAGTTTAATGGATAAAAATTAATACGTGTTTAAAGTTAATAAATAAATAAAAAGAATTTTTATGCAATACCGATTATAAATTTGTACAATTTATAATAAATTCATTTTTCTTAAATATAATTTTAATTTTTAAAAATTTTTTATAATTTTGTATTTTTTTTTATAATTTTTTTAAGTATTTATAATTCGATATTTACAAAACATCTTTTATTATTTTTATTTATAAAACATGTTGATGTTGTTCTATGAAAAAAATTAAAATCCTTTATACATTTTTTTATATAATTTCTGTAATTCATGGAAATGTAAATTAATATTTATTATATTTCGTAAACAATATATATATATATATATATATATATATATCAATGATAATTGTAATTGCTTTACAAACACGTTAACACAAACGTAAGACACAATGAAAGAAATAAAGGAAATTAAGAATGAAGAGTTTCTTCCTATTCTTTTTTTTTTTTAAATATAGTAATAATATTTTATGTGTAAACATAATTGAACTTCTGTGTAATTATACACGTTTCGAAACAAGAAAGGTCATTTCAAAGTGTTAAACAGGCTCATAATTTTAATATAATTTGATGAAAATCGAAAATTCTTAATTAACATAATTAATAATTAACAAAATAAAAAATATACGCATTAGAAAAAAAAATTCAAATTATAAATTTTTAAATTAAAGTTTCTTGATCTCTTCTCAATTGTACTTGCTATATTAAAATAAATACAAACATGTATTTATAATATTTATATATAATATATAAAAGTAAATTATAAGTATTATACTTTTTCTGTAAAGAAAGTATATTATTAATAATTTATCTCTTATGATAACAAGTAGAACCAGTTCATTCTTAAATATACTTAAAAGGTGCTTACATATGAGAGAAATCACATCTGTAAATAACAAATACTTGATAGGTGCGTGCGCATAAGATCACGTGGACGCGGGTACTATGAATCATTCACAATATCTATTTCGCAATGCGCCATCGAAAAGCTTAGTTTCTAAGAATACGAATATCCTCGGGATGTTCCGTTCATTATCATTCCTATTACATTCGAAGCATTTACAATTTTCTTAAGCATCTCTAATTTAATTAAAGATTACTATTTTAACCGATGTTCAATTCGATCTTTAATTTGAATTTTAGTATTCAAATATATCAATTAAAAGACTTAAAGTTTTTTATAGAATACCGTCATGATTTTAATTTTTAATTACTATAATGATCATTATTTCCTTGATTATCATCAGATAAAAATCTTTTTTGCTAAAATAGTTTTCGATAT